GCGCGGGAGCAACACCAAGGGTTGCGATCCCATTGCTGGTCCCAGTCCGGTACGGGGGCAACACTGAGGGTTGCGATCCGTTGCCGGACACGGAAAAAGACAAAAAAAAAATAAATAAATAAAAAATAATTTTTTAAAAAGTGTTGAACATGAAGAACATTTTGACATATCCTTTATATTTGATCTTGATTCTCATTTCAAAACCAAAAAGGAAATAAAGTTAGACAAAAAACTATGCTAGGTCCCAACACTTGTAATCGCTAGTAAAACAACCTCATCCAAAAAATAAAAAGCAAAAAAGCTATGTGGGCACCCATATATATTATTTCAATTCTTTTAAAGTACTGAAAAAAAGGAAAAAAATCATGTTTGTAGGGCTTACAAACACCATCTACCGAGTCAAAGATCTACTGAGTTTTCTTAAGGAGTAGGAAACCTAAGATTTAAAATTAAGTAAACGGCATTCAACCCAAATGAGTTTGTTACTGAATCTATGTGCTGTAATTTAGTCTGCTGATGAGTTCATGGTCCACAGTGAAGTTCTAACCAGTGATTAAATGTGTAAGGTACTCTGCTTAGCATTTCATCCCCTGCTGTCGAGTACAGAAGCTGCATGTGAACCACACACTGTGGAGGACACACTTACCTTTAGGAGCATCCAGGAAATGCAGGTAAAAGGGGTGCTCATCTCCAGAAGCAACGTGGTCATAGCTAAGTAGTGGCCAGCTCTGAGATTGATCACTGAGCCCAGAAATCCAAGAAAGGCAAAGAGATGGTGGACAACCAGAAACAAGTCAAATGTCCGGAAGAATAAGTTGGACAGGTGAACTGCTACATTTTCAAAGAAAAAGAACCCAGTGGCCGTTGTGACATGAAACCAGCACCAGTTCTGCTGACCAAGCGCCCTGTCAGCATGAAGCACAGGGTCCCACAGCAGAGCCCACAGGCCAGCGGCGGTGCTCTGAATACCAAAAACTGCACGTGTGGCTGCTAGGTCCCAAAACACCTTCTCTTTGGCCACCAAAGAGCGGTACGTGGCATTCAGGGAAGACGACAGCTGGTGGCAGACCACGAACACACCCAGGTAAAAGGTGAAGCCAGCGACCACCAGTGTTGAACGGATCTTCCAGGATGCATAGTCCAGGTCAAAAATGCTCTCTGATGTGCCCCCATCACTCACAGGATTCATTGTCCTAAATTGTATACCAAAGGTATCCTGGAAGCAACACAGGGCTTCTGGGCCCTACACCGTGTCTGGCCCAAGAAAATAAAGTCAGTGCAGCTGTCTTTGGGATCTTCATGTATCCACCTTCAATCTGAAAAAAAAGATAATTCACTTTATGTTGACTAAACAGAGCTAGGACACATCATTATTCCACTAATACAAAAACGTTAAAATAAAAAATATTTGTTTTAATAATGAACCTTAATCCTACTCATTTACAAAGGTACATAAACACAGCAAGATAACATCTATTTGCAGTATAGGAAAACAAAAGAAAATAAGATTAAAGATAAAGAGGTACAGCCGCAAACAGGAGGCAGAAATGTTGCTAACATGAACATATGGTACTATGGTCTTCCTACTGATCTTCTACAAACTAGAGTCAGCTCTCACAGCAGTGTGTTGACCAGTTAAACAATCCCGTTTCCACAGGAAAAAACACATTTAAATGATTACACTGGAATATATTTTGTTAGAGATCTTACTTCTAGAACCCGAGACAAGAACAACAGCTGGATGCTCCACAGTATGGGTGGAAAAGCTATTTGGGAACATCACCATGCTTCCACCACAATCCACGGAACATCAGGGCCATCAGGGCCACGCACTCTGGGGTTGAAATCTCTGCTCTGCCAATTACTGGTAACATGGCCTTTGGGCTTCTCTGTGCCTCAGTTTCCTCATGAGCACCAACAGAGGTGATGAATGTCAAGGGACTAGCAATATCTGGCACAGATATTCAGATGGGTATTTTAATATAATGATTATCACTACTTATAGCCATTCAGAAATCCTCATAAACAGTAGAGAAAAAAATAAGTCCTCAGGTCTAGTCCGTTAACTTGCAAATGGTCTAAACTCTGTTCTCAGTATTCCATCTAAAACGAGCCCTGGATTCGACCTGAAGATGCTCCCACACAACTGCTGGCCCATTCTCAGACAACCAGGACAGACCCCATGAACTGATCAAGGACTCTAATCTGTTAAATCCACTGAGCATCTTTCATGTGACTCCAGACAGCTCTCACCAGTCCAAAAAAAGTACCTGCCTGCTGAAACCCAAGCCCTACCCTGGACTACAGAATATACTCTAACTCTCAAATTCAACACGGCAATTCTTATTTTAACCATGAAAAAATTCCCCTAAACAGATAAGTACATAACGATAACTTAGCCTAAGAGCCACGGATACAGTTTGTCAGTATGTACCCTGTTTCAAAAACTCACTTTCTCCTAATGACAGTGGCTGCCTCCATGCAGGGAAAATATAAACCATATGGATGTATTTACCTATTCAAACATAAGTTCAATTAAAATAAATCAATAACTTTTCCCTGCAGCAATGTAAAAACAGAAGTTCAGTCTTTCATTTTACTGTTTATATTTCTGCTATCACAACCAATCCATTTCCTGTACTAACTGAAGTTTATCAAAACGTGATGATCACATCAATAGGCTTCACATTTTATTTCCAACATACTTAAGAACTTTCCTGCCTCTCCATTAGAAGACAGTCATCTTGTTTGTTTTATACCATAAGTTAACACTACAAGAATGTCATAAGAATCTGTGCTCCTATTCCTCACATTATTTCCTTGGTTTAAACCCTAGGATGACTTCCCAATGCCAGTAGAATAAGTCTGAACTCATGACCGTGACCTATGGGAGTCTTCAGGATATGACCCATCCAACCTTCTCAGGTTTAGAAGGTAAAAGGTCCTCCTATTCCAGCCTCTCACTCTCACCCTGCCTCGCACTCTATGCTACAACCCTCCAGTTCTTTGAACATCACGTTCTCCCTCACTCTGGACTTTGCTGATGCTGGGCCCTCTACCTGGAAGTCTTTACCTTGGTCCCCCTATCCCGAGCCCCACCCTAGATAGTTCCATCTTACCTTTCAGCCTTAGCGTAAGGGCCATTTGCTCTTCCCAGACTAGGGGAAGCACCATGGACTAGGCTAAGTACCTTTGCTACAAGCTACTGATGCACCTGTATCTTCACCACTATAGCACCTAAAACGCACTGCAATTGCTTATTTAGTCCTAACCCTCACTAGACAGCAAGCTCTATGGGCACAGGCTGTATCTGCCTGTCCATCATTGTACCCCACTGCCTGATACAATGCCTGGCACACAGTAGGTGCTCAAGAAATATATGTTGAATAAATGAACAGATTCTAAGTTACGCTCAAGTGGTAAAATTTACCTAGGTTTGGATTTGTCTTGTTTGCCAAACTACAAAAAGCAGAGCCTCAAACTCTCAAAACTGTTAGGAACCTGTGAAGTTACCTATTCCAGCCTTTCATTTTACACGGCAGACACCCAATGCATAGAACGGGGGCCATGGAACTGGTTACTGACAAAGCAGCATCAGAAGCCTGGCCTTCAATTCTCACCCATGCACCGTCCTTGCCCGCAGTTTGCAGGACTCACCCCGACTTGGTACTTCCTCAGAGAGGGGAGGACCTTTTACCACCCACACACGGTGAGTAAAGGGCAGGACTGGAGAGCAACCAAGCTCCTCCCATACCATGGGAACCCTCCATTCTCGGGGTTGGGGGGACACAGAGCTGACTGATTTGTGAGTAGCAGGACTCAGGCCACAAGCATTAAACTAGTTGTTCATCCATGGTGGCAATTCAGCAAAAAATGGTAAATCATTATTCAGCCACACACCCCACCAACACAGAAAGCACCAGCTCACTGAAGTGTACACTGAGTCCAAGTTCTGGGACCTAGTGCAAACAACAAAGGAAACATTTATAACTACTAAACTCTTTTTTTGAGGGGGTTGGCTGGTATGGGGGCTCCGGACCCTTGACCTTGGTGTTACAACACCGCACTCTGACCAACTGAGCTAACCGGCCAGCCATTTAACTTTTGAATTTGACAATGGTCACATATCAAAGGCAAAACAGTAGAAGTGTTTGTTTTCCTCTGTTTCTCAATGAACACCGCAGCTTTAATACAGCCTAGCTCTGTGTGAACAGAAATCTGATTCNCACTCTATGCTACAACCCTCCAGTTCTTTGAACATCACGTTCTCCCTCACTCTGGACTTTGCTGATGCTGGGCCCTCTACCTGGAAGTCTTTACCTTGGTCCCCCTATCCCGAGCCCCACCCTAGATAGTTCCATCTTACCTTTCAGCCTTAGCGTAAGGGCCATTTGCTCTTCCCAGACTAGGGGAAGCACCATGGACTAGGCTAAGTACCTTTGCTACAAGCTACTGATGCACCTGTATCTTCACCACTATAGCACCTAAAACGCACTGCAACTGCTTATTTAGTCCTAACCCTCACTAGACAGCAAGCTCTATGGGCACAGGCTGTATCTGCCTGTCCATCATTGTACCCCACTGCCTGATACAATGCCTGGCACACAGTAGGTGCTCAAGAAATATATGTTGAATAAATGAACAGATTCTAAATTACGCTCAAGTGGTAAAATTTACCTAGGTTTGGATTTGTCTTGTTTGCCAAACTACAAAAAGCAGAGCCTCAAACTCTCAAAACTGTTAGGAACCTGTGAAGTTACCTATTCCAGCCTTTCATTTTACACGGCAGACACCCAATGCATAGAACGGGGGCCATGGAACTGGTTACTGACAAAGCAGCATCAGAAGCCTGGCCTTCAATTCTCACCCATGCACCGTCCTTGCCCGCAGTTTGCAGGACTCACCCCGACTTGGTACTTCCTCAGAGAGGGGAGGACCTTTTACCACCCACACACGGTGAGTAAAGGGCAGGACTGGAGAGCAACCAAGCTCCTCCCATACCATGGGAACCCTCCATTCTCGGGGTTGGGGGGACACAGAGCTGACTGATTTGTGAGTAGCAGGACTCAGGCCACAAGCATTAAACTAGTTGTTCATCCATGGTGGCAATTCAGCAAAAAATGGTAAATCATTATTCAGCCACACACCAAATAAGTCCTCAGGTCTAGTCCGTTAACTTGCAAATGGTCTAAACTCTGTTCTCAGTATTCCATCTAAAACGAGCCCTGGATTCGACCTGAAGATGCTCCCACACAACTGCTGGCCCATTCTCAGACAACCAGGACAGACCCCATGAACTGATCAAGGACTCTAATCTGTTAAATCCACTGAGCATCTTTCATGTGACTCCAGACAGCTCTCACCAGTCCAAAAAAAGTACCTGCCTGCTGAAACCCAAGCCCTACCCTGGACTACAGAATATACTCTAACTCTCAAATTCAACACGGCAATTCTTATTTTAAACATGAAAAAATTCCCCTAAACAGATAAGTACATAACGATAACTTAGCCTAAGAGCCATCCCACCAACACAGAAAGCACCAGCTCACTGAAGTGTACACTGAGTCCAAGTTCTGGGACCTAATGCAAACAACAAAGGAAACATTTATAACTACTAAACTCTTTTTTTGAGGGGGTTGGCTGGTATGGGGGACCCACCAACACAGAAAGCACCAGCTCACTGAAGTGTACACTGAGTCCAAGTTCTGGGACCTAGTGCAAACAACAAAGGAAACATTTATAACTACTAAACTCTTTTTTTGAGGGGGTTGGCTGGTATGGGGGCTCCGGACCCTTGACCTTGGTGTTACAACACCGCACTCTGACCAACTGAGCTAACCGGCCAGCCATTTAACTTTTGAATTTGACAATGGTCACATATCAAAGGCAAAACAGTAGAAGTGTTTGTTTTCCTCTGTTTCTCAATGAACACCGCAGCTTTAATACAGCCTAGCTCTGTGTGAACAGAAATCTGATTCAGGGGAAAAAGGCTGTTCTCTCTAGATTCTGACAGCCCCTGATGTGTGTTTTCAGGGCAAACAGGAGTTTTCTCTGATGGAGGTCATGGGTGATGACTGAGAGGCTGCTCTGTCCACAACGAACACCGCATGGCCCATGCCTCTCTGGTCATGTCACAACAAAACTCCAGTTTACTTACACATCTCCAAATGCACTTAAAAGTTAATTTGTACAAGGATCAAGTTTAACATTATATTAAGAGGCTGGCAAGAGCACTTGGCTCTGGTATACAGTCTGCAGCAAGTCACCTTGTAACCCCCATACGCTTTACAGGTGCAGGTCAATTTCAAGT